ATTCTAACACTTACTCAGAATTGGGAGTCCCTGCATCCTCTCCTTACCTTCAACTGAGCGAATAGAAAACCCAAAGCTTGAGCTGGACTTAACCAAGTAGCAGAGTTTGGGTTTTTGACGATGTTTTTCCACTCCATTGGCAACTGGCTTGCTTCCAGGGTTGGAAAGGTTTACTCCCTGGGCTTTTGCTTGCTTGTAGGAGGATTCATCGAGAATGTGAAATGTGACAGATGTTCCACTGTTTTTCACCAGGTCCACCACCTGTCCAGGAAAAAAAGATGCTTGTCACAGCAGAACTGGTCTAAGAGTTGTTATTGATTTGATTAATGCACTGCAGTATTTCTGCATCCTGCTCACTTCAGAATGCGAACATTCATCGACAAATGTTCCATTGACCCGGAGGATGCGGTCTCCGTCTTTGATGCCAGCCAGCTCAGCTGGACCTCCCATTTCCAAGCAGCGGATCAGGTGACCCTCCTCGCCATTTTCCACCCTCAGATAGAAGCCAAATGTCTGTTTTGGTTTCTTGGATAGGGTAAACACCCGTGGCTTGTACCCAGCCATGTCCTAACAAAAAAGGTGAAAAGCACACACATGACAATCACAGTGGTAAAGTCATGACATTAAATACACCTGTCACTACTAATGCTTGACTTACAGGCATATCTTCTTTTTTTAACACCTCCCGCCACCCTTTGTATTGTTACTGCCTCTGGTCTTTTAAATATATAAGTAGAGTAGAAACTATTACTGGACCTTAAGGACCAGTAGGAGGGTTGCTGGACCTTAAGGACCAGTAGGAGGGTTGCTTCAGATCGATAATCTTACAGTTAACCTTTCATGCTGGGTTTGCAACAGAAGTTAATGGTTAATAGCAAACATAGCTGACAGTGGTGATGACTCTCCATAAAAAAGCAGCTTGGACTTTGAATGAACAATAAGAACTTCTGCTGCAATTCTTGCTGGATTGTTATTCCCATACAGGAAGGTCTGTGTGTGCACATGTACTGGCTTATTTATTCAGCCAATAATGTAGCTTAATAAACAAATAATGGCAAAAAAAACAACGACTTTATTTAAGCAGGCAGGTTAGAATAATTTTTTTGTTTGTATTCCTTATACCTTTACATTTAGTTTTTACCTGTTCTAGATTTAAGTGTGTAGAATTTATGTTTGCACTGAATGCAATCTTAAAGTGTCATCTTAAAGATCACATTGTTTATAGATCCGGTATCTAATTAATAAGAGCCCTGAGATTACAAATTTATGTCTATAATCTCAGTAATATCTTGTGTCAGTTTACTATAACACAAGCAACACAGCTCACCCTCAAGAAACACTCATCAGACAACATTTTCCATTATTCTTAAAATGAATTTATAAGATAGCATAGATCTAGTTTTGAATGTGACATTGAAAATTTTTAACTAACTACACGATCTCTGAAAAATTACATACAGCGTAGTTGAGTGTTTATAATATACTCACCAGCCTGTCTCTCCTGGCGTCTGAATCTCAAAGGAGAGCTCACCTGTTACTGTTTAGCTGTTATCTATGTATCTTTAACCTGTCTACCTCCTCCTTCCTGCCCCTTTTCCTTCCCCCTTCAGGGACTTTGACAGGCCAAAGGTTAGCCTAAAGGCTGAGTTATTTAACAGTTTCTAGGCTCACAAATATCTGCAGATGCGTTACAAGGTGGGCAGTCAGCTGTTTAGTGGTCAAAGGTACAAAATGCAGGTGGCAAAAAAACAATGTACAATCATTGCAGCACACACAGTTATTACAGCATTGTGAAATTTGAGTTATAATCACTAACACAGTATTGTGAAATGACTACAAAAATGCTTAATTTAATTGCATAATTTAATTTTTACTTGAAAGAAAAAAAAATGATGGGTTCTTATTAAAACTTGACAAAGAATTACCTAAATTGTGTTATAGCAAAAAGGTCAATACATTTGCATGAAATAGTACTTAAAAAGCCATTTCATGTAATGTAAATATAATCACCAGAGATGAGGATCAAGAGCTGGTTCTTTTGGAGAACCTGTTCCCAGTTGTTCAGTTACTTTGAGTTTTGAGTTCGCCTGCCTATCGAGCCCACTTATCTGTTTCATTTGCACTTGTGCTAATAAGCTAATTTCAGTTTGTGTCCTGGAGGAGGAAATTTATTTTTACAGTTTCTACAATGTGGATATTAACATTTTGTTTATAGTTTGGACAAAAGGAGGAGAGCCCAGTGTTTAAGTGCAAACTGCATCCAGGACAGAACACAACTTCTGCTCTTTACAAGCACCTGCACAAACAGTATGCTAACGCTAAGTTAGCCAAGAATCCAGAGTGATGTTAAAGCTGAGTTGAGTAAATACCGGCCCCATTGCAGCAGCCTGACCTTGAAGTTCAACAGGCAACAAAGCCAGTGATGAGCAATCAGGCTGCAGCTTCCCTTGCTGTTCATGTTTCTAACATAGAATCACTATGATGATCACTTTAAAGTCATTTTGTTCTGATTTTGATCTTTGCTTTATGCTGTCAGCATTGTGTTCATACCTAAATAAAAGAGAAAGAGAAAGATCACACGTGTGTCCTCATTAGGATAGGTTAGTGTGTGGAAATGCAGCCTACAGGATTATTTTGTTAAATAGTATTTATGAAACAAGGAGTTTCAGGTCATTTTAATGAGTAACATGAAAGTTACTTAATAGTGTAACAAATTACTTTCCCCTGTGAGTAATTAAGTAGCGCACTGCATTACTTTTAATTATTGTGTTCTGTGTAATTTGTGCAATACATTACTTTTTATGAGTAATGCTCCCAGAACTGATCACAACAAATAGGGGAAATGCCTACAACAGGCACAAACACTTGTATGCAATTAATTTGCATAAATGTAATGTCTTTGATATGGTGCTTAGGGATGGCAGTGACTCTCAAAGTGGAGCCAATAAGAAGCCAATGAGAATCAATAAAAGACCTGATAAGGAACCGAATCTATAAATATGGACAATGAAATCGGAATCGCTAAGTTCTTATCAATACACGTCCCTGATAATTACCCATGTGGGTGTTTCTCTTACATTTACACAACTCAAAGCTGCAATGTTTGCATTATGGCACATTCAATCCAGTCTCATTCAACAAATGTGTCATAAACTCCACCCTCAAGGTCATAATGTTCAAATCTAATTCTAATGGTTTTATTGTGATGATATGGTGTCTCTTGAGACGTGCAGTACTACACAAATGTCTTGAGCAACACTTCCTTTTTTTCTAGGAAAATGTAGACTATATCTAGTAATTTAATGAAATAAAAAAAGAAAATGCAGTATATAATGCTAAACAGACAGGGTTTTTCTATCTAGGTATGCTTATACTGCAATGTTAGTGTGTTTGGGGTCATTGTCATACTGAAAAATGTGGCTTTTGTTATGCAAATGGTATTGCATGGTGAATCAAAATCTGAGCATATTTTTCTGTGTTTGTAATTCCATCAATTTTGACAACATCCCCAACACTATGGGCCTCCAATGTGTTTTACAGATGCTGCAGTCACTCGCCTTTGTTCCTTTCTCCTGACCTCTTCTGTAAATACTGATGGTGATTGAAAAATCAAGAATTTAACATTTGGAGTCATCACTCCATTAAACCTTATTCCACCTGTTTTTAGTTCATTTCCTATGTAATTTGGCGTACCTCAGCTTTTTCCTCAATAATTCCTTCTTGACAGCCACTGAGATAATTTATGGTGAGGCTTCACTGAACAGTATGTGGATCAACTGAAGGTCCAGAGTCATGTCTCAAGTCCTTTGTTAGGTCTTTGCTTTGATGGTTTTCTGTTTCATAGCCACATGACTTTTAAATATTGTTATCTGCTGCAGATAGTTTTTTAGCCCAGTGTCCAGTTTCCTCAATTTTTTTAAGGACACACTGCACACCATGCTGAAATATACCAAGTTTTTAGGTAATAGCTCTATGGGAATTACCTTGTTGGTGCAAAAATAGTATTTTATGCCTATCAAACAGCTTTCTTTTTCATAGATTCAACGAAAGAAATGGAAAGCAGCCTTCGTCCAAAGAAAAACTTGGACAACTGTTGATCAAGACACTTTAAAATCTTTTTAATACATCCGGCTCACTGGAAGCAAAATATTAAGAAATTGTGGGCCAAGACTGTTGCACAGTACCATAATGAAGAGACAGACCAACACCGGACTAGCTATCCATTCTGTCAACGGTACAGTTGGTCTAACTTAGATACTTGTATAAAGAAATGTGTCCAGGAAGTTTGCTCCCACTGGCATTCATTGGTTACTTAAAAGTCTAAGACCCAGAGGTTAATTGGTCTTGTTTTCCAAGAAACAGCTTCACAAATTCCACCTTAGTGTCACCACTGGTTAAAAATTCCCCTCTGTACCGCTTTCCCACGTCAATACTTAAAATGGTAAGGATAAAATGTTGACTTGGCTAGTCTTCTAACAGGTGGATTAAAGGGGGTCATTTATTTTTTTAGTAAAGATCTTTGTGGTGTAAAAAAATTCAAGATAGGGTTGGTCGCAGTTAAGTTTTAATGTTTGTTGTTAACCTGGTCGTAACTCTGGATGTAAAAAGCAGTTATACGATGGCACAAAGGTGACAACCAAGGCAAAATCTGCAAAAGAAAAGTTTTATTCATTACCGAACTGGTGTTGTTGTCAATATCTTTTTAAATGTTTTATTGTATGCTACTCAGAATTTGGTTCTGGTAGTGTCCTCTCTTTCTCAAGGCCTCTGGGGAGGCCACAAAGTAGATTTGAATTCCTCTCCGTGCCGGTCAAAATAAATATGAGTGCTGTGGACTGCCAATGATGAGACTGCGTAATATAACAAAGGAACTTTAATAGCTGCGCTTTATGCAAATGATGTCCTGACATGTTCAGATTTTTAGTGATACTTAACAATATATTTTATTTTATTTGACTTATTAACTATGTATAATTTTGTTTCTATTTTATTACTATGTGCATACACACTGAGAGTTACCTTGTGTATGTCATGCTGAAAGGAAATAATTACTTTAGAGTCCCAAAATTACATTAATTTGTATGCACAGAACCAAACTGCCTCTGGCAAGTTCATCTTCTAAAAAAACCTCTAGATATATTTATTTAATTTGCATAAATGCAGAAAGAAATCCTGAGTCACACTTGGATGGTGATATTAAAACTTCCACGCATGTATAAGATCCAAATATCTCGCCAGGTAATATCCATAAAGGTGTGTATCCCTTAAAAAAAGAAAATACAAGGTCTCATTTCCAGCTTACATCTTTACTATAACATAACCTATGTATCCGACATCTAACAAGCACATCTGGTCGAAAACCCTTTTCGGCAATGCTTTGTACTGGCATCAGTCTCCCTCCCCCCAATATAATTTTCCTCCTTTTTTTGGCACACTGCTACCTGTAATAGCGCATTATCACCAACAACAGTAATGTATATTGACTGATGTGCAGACCTGCTGGTGGAAAGATGTATGGATATCCATTACCATCCTTCACAGTCCACAGAAATGTGAATCACATCACTCCACGCTTTTACTGTATGGATATAATTGTTGGTGCAATGCTAGAGCACTTACCTTTAACAATAAACTGAATTATGTGTATTCAATACCTTCCACCTCTTGTACAGTAAACGGTAACAAAGTAGACACTGCTGCTGTTTTGTTTTCATCTATTGTTGAAAGCTCATTTTACTGGGAATAAACTATTCCAAAGATTCCCCTCATGGCACTAACATTGTTTTAGCTGGTTTGGTCCTAACATCACTCGGGATCAATGTCTCACTGCACCCGTGAGAAGCAAATGAAGGATCATATTAGTGTCATATTAGTGAGGTTTGCATTACTGATCTAATGCTTCTCGTTTGTATATCTACAATATTTGTGATTTAAGCAAGTTATTTTGAAGAAGCCTCGGTTACACGAGGTCATTGTCCCTGGGGGTTCCTGGAACCAATTTTGAGAGCCAGCACTTTAGTAAATACTATACTGATGTAAAAAGTATGACGAGGTCTGTTTGTGACAACCTGGTGCGACCGACAACAGGAAATGGCAGAATTTGTGCTGGAGACTTCAATCTTTCTGCCTGTGCACCTGAACACTCAGATACCCAGTAGGGGTGTACGTACCTCCTGACCAGGCACTTATTACTGCTGATGGGTTGGCACCGATTATAACTCTCTCTCTCTCTCTCACACACACACACACACACACACACGCACACACACTACCAGTTTGGAGTCATATTTGAACAATCGATCTCAAGGGTTTAGGAGCCACAACCTGAGGGGAGATGAGTGGAAAGAGACTGAAATCCATTTCAGCTTGGCTTAGTGCTGATGCGTTCATAATCCATTAGCTCTTGTCATCACCTTGAATTTGCCAGAAAAAAAAAAACAAAAAACACACAAACTTTGTCTTTTTGTGATGATTGGATTTTCCAAAGAAGCTGTTACTATTGAATATGGAACATAATGGTATTTAAAATATAGCTATACAAGAATATACAAAATATGCATTTATTATTTAAACAAAAGTCATAGATATCAGCCTCAAAGTGCCACCCAAGAAGTGGTTGTCTCCAACCTGTCCTAATCAGCAGGGACGCGTCGGTAATCAACATGTCATGCTAGTATGCGATTACGATGCCCAACGGGGAGCACTATTCTCTGTCTTCATTCTGATTGGCATCCTCACATGGCTTGTTTATCTGGGCTAAGTGGCTGTGCACATGACCTGCCCGAGCCAGCTAATTAGACCAGAAGAAAGATTGGAAATGAGCTGCTTGTAATAATATCCCCCTCCATTTTTTCTGGAAATCATTTGAGTGTTCAGGGCGCAAACAGTGGCTTCCCAGTAATAACACCCTTCAGAGAACAGTGACATTTTAACTTAACAAATGTGCAAGTGGCACTGAAGACACAGTGTCTGTTACCTTTTAGGGAAAAAAGTAGACATGTAATGTGTCCAGATTCAAGGCAGATACTACTGTATATCCATATTTCATCCTTAGTTCAGGAAAATATAATGATGAAAGCGAAGAACTTGACTTAAAAATAGCATCTATGATGTATGAGACCCCAATAAAATGACAAGAAAGAGTTCCCTTAATCAGAGCTTTAATGCAGACTATAAAGGATTTGCTAGCACCAAAAACATTCTGTCATTTAACAATATTGTTAGTTAAAGACACATGCGCTTTAGATTTTTATTTTTTATTTTAGCAAAGGTATGAATCTGCATACAAAAGAATAAAAGAAGAGAGCCAAAAAGAGACCAAAGTAGAATCAAAAGATGGTAAAAATAAGAATGAAAACCACGCACTCTCCCACTCTCCAGTTTGTTCTTTTCAGAAATGATGAAGAGCACTCGATACACGATGTTACTGCAGAAGTACAGCTAGGTATACAGTAGTAATGGGCACAAGCATTTTCAAGCCACGGGAGCTACAAGTACCTCATCAAAAAAAAAAAAAAAAAGAGGGCAAGACCGCCATGTGACAGTGAATTCATGAGCCCAAAGTTCAGTTTTAGGTGTGACATTAGGTCGGTCTGCCAAAACCATTCTCCTGAAGCGTTAGGCAGCTTCCAGTGTGGGTAGGATGAGTGTACAGGCAATAAAAGAGGTAAAGGCCAAGACATTTAAGGCATTTAGTTTTTCCAGAATCCTCTAACGGCGGCAGAGTGTTATGGCGGTCAGCACTGTTGCCTCACAGCAAGAAGATTGTGGGTTCCGGGCCAATGCCTTTCTGTGTGGAGACTGTATGTTCTTCCTGTGTCTGCATGAGTTCTCCCCAGGTAATCTAGTTTCCTCCCACATGTTCATTCTTTCATAAAAGTGGTTATTTGTTACATAACATCTCAACACATGGAAAAATAACCACTCACAGGTGCCATTCAGTTTTACTTTCAGAGGATTAAACTCAGCCAGAGAAAGAATCTAAGTGATGGCGATTCTTGGTGGCAAAAAACTTCCAAAAGAAATGCACATTCATAACAAAAAGGAGTTCTTAAGAGAGCACAGGAAGCATCAACAGACAATGAAACAAATATGGGTGGAATAACACAAGCAGGAACCAGAACACGATCACCCAATACTGAAACAAGAAACCGACTGTGACAGAGATGGTGGGAAAATGGTTAAAAAAAATAATGGCACAGCAAATTCAACAGAATAACCAGGATCAGGACCAAACAAAAGCCTTTGCTGAGATTTCAACTGTACTATCAGTTCTGCCAGAATAACCAGTGTGGGTGTTTTGTCACTTCTTTCCACAGATGACTGTTAACAGAATAGATCTCGAGTGTTTCTCAAATGTTCAAGTCAGACGAATAAAACTGCTTCTGCTGGGGGAAGGCTTGAAGCTGAAATGGTTAAAAGAAACTGCTGGTAGCAAATAAATCAAGTCACACACAGAGAGAGTTCTACATCAACCATAAATGCTGATGAGGAGCAATTAAGTGAGTAATCAAATGAGTGCAGATGAAAATATTACAACACACACAGCCAGAGGGCAGGCGGCATGGCAAAAAGTGCAAAATAAGTATGCAGAAAACCTATTAGGCATTTCTTAATAACGTAAGATTAGTCAGTTCAAGTGAAGAGGTTAAAAACGTAATGATGATGATTTTGATAATCATGCACCAGATATTATACGGAGGAAGTCTATCATACAAGCGTTTAGAAACTGCACTGATATATTCTGCAGCTCAAACCTTTGTTAGTCAAGAGAGATTTGCAACAAGATGACCGAAAATCCGCTCAGACCTGCCACATGGGGGCGGTGGCGTGCATGTAAAAACCACAAAACCGCCTACAGTCCGTCAACACTTAAATAAGGTGAAAACGTCCTCGCTCTTAATTGAATTACCAGCAAGCACCTTCACACCATGGAACAAATAGCCAAATATAAGTGGAAGTGACGGCAGTAAAGTAATAATAATCAAAAACCTGAACACAATGAATCATGTGTTTCTTTCTTCTCTTCTCTGTAATCACCAAGGTCTCATTCATTTGAATCTCCCCTGCTGCTTCCATATTAAATCCTTGACTATTTTGCAAAGTTCAAGAGGTCTTAAGCGTTTTAGGACTGTCACTATTTAGATATTGAAAGAGAACTGAGTGCTTTTCCCCAACACAATGTTTCAGTACTCATTGCTTCAGGCTCGTGGTGCTGCAAAAATGATGAATGGTTTTCATTTTATGGCTCACCTCGACTTTTTCTTTTCTTTTAATCGAGACAAACAATGCTGCCTCTTGAGAAGCTGTGAAGCTATTATAAATATGTTCGTGTATGAGTTACACACGTAAAAAACGAACCAGGCGTTTCTTATTCCCACTGCTCACACACAGACGCACACAAACCACACGCCCTTTATGACAGCAGTCCGCGACTCTGGCAGTTCATTTGGCAAAAGCGCAGCAGCGCACCGCGCTCACCTCTCCTGGTGCGCACCAGCCCTCGATTAACGCGCGACGCTCACTGAGACACATCTACAGTAACCGAGAAGGAGTAAAAAATAAATAAAAGAAAGGACATTAATCGAGTTTTTTTGTTTTTACGTTTTTATTTTCTTTTGCAAATTGGGAAAAAGACAACTTATACCTCATTCAGTCAGTGTGATGGACAGTGGATGCAGAGTAGTGTTATCTGACACTTTAAAGGCTCGAATTCCTTTGCATTTTTTCCTAATATTATACGGCATCAACTTACGCTGCGAACATTAAATCAGAATCATGGCTGACTACGTGAGAAATGAGACATCCATCAACCCCGAGTGCGTTTTAGCGCAGGTCGACGCGCTGAAGAGCGGAGCGGGTAACGGGAGCTTGGAGGCAACAAACATCGCCTGCGGCAACGCGTCCACACTCCTCATACCTCAGCGTGCGAGGCAGAGAGGTGAGCGCGCACACACATAGCTCATCTTTTAATGAAATGTGCCACCATAATGTCTCTTTATTTAATTTTAACGCGCTATTATCTGCACTGAAGCATTGCATACGTCCGCAGACTGTATGCAATGTCCAACTTAAGTTTAATTTGTAGTATTGACTTCATTGGGATGTGATGGGACTCTGATTTCAGAGAAACTAAAACGGATTGTTTTTGTTTTTCAAGTCCTTAAAACCACAACAGATACAATAAGAATCTGTGCTTTTAACAACTTAAGGTAAAAGCATTCTGTGCTTAACATTTTACCTGGAGGTGACAAACTCACTTTCTGTCTGATACCATTTCAGTCTTTAGGACTTAGCAGTTTATTGGAAGTATATGGAGGTGCGTTAATACTCTTTTTTTACAGTAAGGCTGGTTTTTTAGGTTCTATTTATTTTAAGCAAAAAAGTGTACAGAGCAGCAGTGAATTACAGATCAAAGAGGATGCACACAGACAGAGAGGCACATCTAACCCTGGCCACACAGGGGATTTATTCATAAAAAAAGTCACATCAGGGCTGTTCCTCACGGTCATCCCAGTCCCAAAGCATTTTAATGCACTTTATCCAAATTGTGATGAGAACAGAGCACCTGTTATGCATAGACTTCCCCCACCCCCCATGTAAATCTATAAATTTTGGAGGGAAAAAAAGGACATTTGAGTGCATCATCACACTTGCAATTTCCTGTGTCCTGTTTCCAGCTGCTACATTACATTGTGGGGTCTCGCTTTAAGTCTTCGTAGGTATTGTTGTCACTGAGGAGAGTAGTGATCTTTGTGTGGTAATCTGTTGTGTTTAGGACAGTGCACCTTCCCTTATCAGCTGGTAATATAGTGATGTTGTGGTCTTTGCTCAGGGAAGCGACGGCCTTCTTTTCTTGTAATGTGAGGTTAGATGGAGGGATTTTGGAACTGGAGAGGGTGGCTGAGACTTTCATCCTGATTTGCTCTGCTTCTGTCTGTGATAATTTGTTAATCACTCACATCCTGGGCCATCTGACCTCAGGAAATCACATGATAGGGTGGGGCCAGGTTTCACAATGAGCTCACCCGAAACCCTGGCTGATTGGCACCCACACCCGCTTTCACACCTTGGCTCATTTGATTAGGTAGAGGATCATCAGGGGGTCCTTTGTCCCTCTTTGGGGGGAAACTCCCACTGGGTTTAAATCTGGGACTCTCCACCATTTGACCTTAGAACTGAAGAAGCTTCTCGGATGAGAGGTGAAACGTCTTCAAGCAACTCAAAGAAGTCCAGACGCTTTTCTTTCCAAGCTCCTTAGACTACGATGACCTGGATGACTGAGAACCTTCACAGACATTATCAATCTTCACTCCTCAGAATTTGTCAGTGTTTCTGTGTTTGGATGAGGTGGTTTTGCCACATGTGCCTACGCTTGTGTGTGTGTGTGTGTGTTTGTGTGTGTGTTTGTGAGCAGCATAGTGTCAGTATACTTTTATATAAATGACAGATACCTGTACCCCTTTTATAAGACTTTAAACTGTAGTGCATTGTAGGCGATGATGATTGATTTGCCTCTCCCTCAATCATCCCCATCATTACACACGATCTTTTACACCTCCCAGTGGTAAGTAATTTCAAACTGAGGCTGAATTAGAACACTTCAAATTACAAGCCCACTGAGGGCACATCTAACAAGTACAGATCAATGTAAGGTGGCTTGTGTCTCCCGAGCCTGGCAGCAGATGTGTTTCATATATTATATGCAGCAAACTAAGATATTTTCTTTCCCCCACAACATGTCAATCACTCCTTCAAATCAGGCCGTTCTTTCTCTCTGGTTAATATTCTCACTGTATCTCATAACTGCACTTCATACTGATCTCAGATGATCATATAAATAGATCAAATTAAAGTGTCGGACCCAGTGCAGCTGCTGTCACCGTCATTTCTCACTCCATCACTCCCAAATTGATTGCTTCTCCACCTCTGTCAATCATTCTTCTCATCTCCTCTTTCTGCCCTTCTGTGTTTATCAGGCAGATTGAGTTGCATCACTGTCAGACTTTGAAAGAGTTACGTATGTTTTATGCAGATTGGTGACCTCAAGGAGCGTGCCGTGGACCACATGTAGTCTGCAGGGATTTAGTAAATTTATCCTTCCTCAATGGATGACATTTATTTTGATCAGTGAGATATCTCCAGTCCAGGCTTCGCCTGTTTGCCAAAGAGTGTTTTTTTGTATAAATCATTTGATATGTGTATAAGAGGAGAGGGTACACTAAAAGCCAAGCTATGATACTGCATGATTTACAGTAGGTTGTGAATGAAAGTTGCCATAAAAATGGAAAACACAAAGGGAAAGTGCTGTAAGTATTAAATTTGAGAATTTAATGCACATTTTCTGAAGACAGAAATATGACACAAAATTGTTGGAATAACCTGGTAACAAAAAAAGGGTTGCTCTGCAAAATGTCTATGTACATCTGCTGCTTTGTGAGCATTTCACCATGGATACTGGCATTCACCCCTGAGCGAGGCACAAAGTGGGAGCGAGTGCATGTCAAAGTAAGGCCAAACCTCTGCAAGCTCCAGGTGGAAACATGTTGCTCGACTGCAGACACCTTTCAAAATGGTTTCACACTCAACACAGTGCAGGTGTTGTTTCAGGTTTGAAAAAGAAAAATAACAAAACAAAAAGCGAGAAAAAAAAGGTAAAAAAGAAAAAAAAAGACACCTACGTATTCTCTAAGGGCTTCACTGCACATGGATTTACATCATCGCTGTAGACTTCAGTTACTGTGGCTTCACAGGAAGCTTGTCACACGTTGCTTGGTTTTCATTAATAGAATCAATAAAAATCCTTATACTTTATCTAGGATACTGGAAATCTGGCGCATAATTTGTCACTCGAGCAGCAGGAGGCAATTTCTGGAGGGGATGATGAAAAATAATGAAAGAGGGGTCTGTTGTCAGTGCCAGGAGCAAACCACCATTTCAAATCTGTTTTCAGAAAGCAGTTTATGCAAAACAAAAGGTGTCTAGTAAACAAAAAAACCCCAAAGTAAAATGTACAAAAATGTAACCATTTTTCCTTTCATTTCTTCTTTTGCTCCCACCACTTCTCTCAGCGCTCCATCTACTGTCGCTCACACCCTCGCTTCTCACTCTGCCTGTGAGAGCTGAGGTGTTTAATACATGCCTGCGCTGTGGGACAAGCAGCAAACCTAATGTTCTGCATGCTGACCGCTGTGATGGGAGACTCTGTGGATTGCATGCTGTAGTCTGTCAGTCAGCAGTAAATGGGTTTGCTCGTCGCCGCGATCAACTGTTCGGTTGGGGGGTGGGGGTGGGTTGGGGGGGGTGTTGACTTAGTGACAAGGCTTAGGTGGCATTTACCCTGCTGGATTAGCCACTAGCTGTGACATTTACCAATACCTAGGTCTAACAGGAGACGAGCCAGCTTTCCTCTCACAGGGGCAGCGACACGAGGGTATACTGGGATTTAAAACGATGGGTGTTGCATATGTTTAAGAGACTGGTGAAATGCAGGGTTAGTAAATTATCTATAATATCTCTGTGTAGCTACTGGTTGCAAGAAACATACGAAACCTTTAATATTCATTAATGAAATACAAACTCTTATACTTTTGTTCATAATTGAACATATTAAATAACAGGCTTACTTTACTTGTCAGTTGAATTGTTACAGATGATTTGTTAGCATCTGCTCTTCAGTGTTTAAACAGCACTTTAATGGCTGGTAAGTTGTTATTAATGACATGTTAGATATGCTGTCGCACATTATTTGCAAATTTGTTCTGCATTTAAAAAAAAGCGTAACAATCAATGGTGTCCAATACGACCCACATCTTACATCTCTGTGTGATCTGCCCAAATTCAGAGACGTATCTCTCTATTACATAGTGAAACAATATGTGCTGGCAATGGAGCCGAACAAGAAATAAATGACACATGATCTAAAGCAGCATATCTGGCCTCTTTCGGATAATTGCAAGTAGAAAACCCCCAGCAGTTAAAACAAAGTGATTTTTCCTGCATTCTGTAAACAGAGAGCAGACTGTGTGTCAGCGTCAGTGGCCAGACGTGGATGTGCTACAGGCTTCCCTTCTGTCATTTGGCTCTTTAAACTGAAAAGACTTTTGGTTTAGCTGGGTACAAACAAAGCCTTGCCAAATGGTCAGTGTTGGTTTCAGTAATAACTTCCTATCTATAGAGTAATTTCCTGCAACATTAACCATTACATGATATTTCTCTGCCTCACTGGCAGCTCTAGCCTCTGTGTTATGTTTGTGTCTGTCCGTATGTGTCTGATTTGATTTTTTGTCCCCTATCTGGCCCATTCTGCTGTATAACAAGAAAACCAGACGCAAATTTTCAGGCCAGATTTTCAGGCCAGAATTCAAATATGCTGATAATTACAAACATTCAGACTAATATGTAACTTCCTGAGGTCTAAGTTGTCATTTCTCATTTTATAAAATTGTTTTCTCAAATTTCCCAAGGGAAAAAAGAAAACAATCATTCTAAGAAAAAGAAATTCCACCCCCAATCACCCTATATTTTGCCTTTCTCTACAATATAGCGTAATGGCATGGTAATGTTAGCTTGGCTCAAAGCTCAGTATACAGTGGTGAAGTGATGACATTTTATAGTGAGAAGAAGTATTTGCCCCTTCCTGATTTCTTTCTCTTTTTTGTTTGCATATTTTTCACACTTAGATTTAGATGGTCAAACAAATGCAGTTTTTAATGCATGATTTCATGTATTACGGGAAAAAGCTGTTCATACTTACCTGGCTGGTATGACGTAAACTAGAAATTCCTGCCTTATTTTTAAGGGTATAGCAGATGTCTTGGTCATGATTGCTAACTTAATGTTATGGAGCAGCTAGTGTATCTAAACTAAAAAAAAAAAAGCGACCAATAAAAAGCAGCATATTATTCCATGATCACAAGAAACTCAAGAACAGCTAAGAAA